TAATTCTCCATCGTTCTCAAAAAGCGTGAAAAATTAGGTAACGTACTACAATTGCCCATTTGATTGATATCTTCACAGATCCATTCGGCCGCATTATTAAATGTCACCAATGTCATCGAAGTAGCTGTGGACATGTCCGAAAAAGATAAAGCCGATTTATTAAATATCTCAAGAAGAAAACGATGTTCCTATCTCATTAGGTATATAATATACTGTAGATTCATAAAAAACTAATCTCAAATTCTACCATGGTTGTGTAATAATTTTGTAAAAACAATAATTAGGTATGTATATTTAAGAGGTCTGCACATGACATATTTGTTTTCTCAAAACACGATGTATATGAAAATACTCTTACGCCTCTTAAAATGATYCAATTTTGTTTTTTGTTTTTAGAAGAGAAAAAAATTTTTATCGGTCACATCGTACTTGGATGTTTTAAATTATATTTCTCAACCGTATGTATAATATACGATTTTGAATTTGACCAATTTTTACAAGCTTTTATTATTTTTATGTTTGTTTTGACAAACAAATAAAAATTTAATTAAATGAATTTAGAGACATTATCTGCTTTAAAAAAAAAATTAAATCAGACTACCCATGACGATTCAGTTTTTCCTGTAAAGCGTGTTTTGAGCAAAAAATCACGCTCTTCATTTTTGATCAGTGGTATCGTTGACATGTGGACACAAAGGGCACCCGCTTACGATTTACACTCATACTAATCGTCATTGACGACTAACACAAAATTTATGCTTTTGATGCATTTGATGCTATGGTTGATAGAAATTAAATATATTAATTATTGCCTAAGTATTTCTCCTTGACACACGACCAGGCCACTTAGAAAAAGGTACTCACTGATTACGAAGAATAGTTTCAGGAGCATATCTGTAACATATAATATWTRATATAAGAATATTTTTTTTTTCAGTTATGAGTTATTACACCTTAAGTAGATAATGACTAATGAGTAATGACTGATGAATATATATGGCTAAAGATTTCAGCATTTATGCCTTAAAGAATCAGCAAATATGCTATTCAAGTAATCATTTAAAAAAAAAATGTATTGAATAAAACTTTTTTTAATATCTAGATAAAATTTGAAAGATTATAAATCTTAATTTATAATAAAAAGTTAGCAAATAATTAATTTTATTTTTCAATTTGTTATCTTGTATACTAATAAATAATAATATATAAATATAATAAAATAAAATTGTTTAATAACAAAATATTGCCTTTCTTACTGATGATTACTGCAATGATCTGTAACAGCTGTAAATAATTATTTGTTAAATAAGTCCGTCAGATGAATGTAAATTATAACTATTATTATAACAATGCTGTAAAAATCGAAMATGAATGTATGGAAAAAAAATAAAAATGAGAATAAACTCAAGAGAAAATCACAATTTACTGCACTCTCAGCAATGATCGGAGAGAAACCGATCCATCCTCGAGTACTCACGACCAAAATTATTATTCTACTGATTTTGATTTTACCTGACTGGTTTTATTTTGACCAGCTAAATGGGGCGGGGTAAGGTTGATTTATTATTCACCAAGGTACAATTTATTAAAATAATAATCTATTATTATTATAACAATTTTACGGATATGTCGTATAAAGTATTTTAAAATCGGTTTTCCGCATATTTCATTAGATAACCATATTTCCTCGTTATTGAAAATATGCATAATAGGTAGAATGTAGTAAGTACCAAAAACTATATTTACATTTTTTATTGAAGTACACCAACATGAATTTGATATCAAACTTAGCGACAAAAAACTAAAAAAGGAGACTATTTTAATATAAATAAATATTATTTTCGAAATTTTGATCGATTTCAACTATCTATTGCAATGATTTGTTTTTGAATTACAACAAAATAAGAATAATATAACTGAATAACA